ATCCCAGCACTCAGGAGGCTGAGGCAGGAGGATCACCAGGAGTTTGAGGCCAGCCTGGGCTACACAGTGAGTCCAAGGCCAGCCTGAACTGCATAGTGAGGCCCTGTTCAGATGATACTTCTTTCAGCTTTCCTCGTAGGAGGTCTTTTTCTCCTCTTTTAATGGAGGCAGAAACTGTCTCAGAGAGGCTGAGGAATTTGGCAGTATCACAACCAGAAAGTGGAGAAGCTGGATTTTAACTGTTGGAGGGTTTTACACAAATGCCCCGCCTACCGTGACCTACTCCTTGCTACTAAGGAGCTGTTTTTGTTGTCAGTCACACTCCACCACACAATGAACACGTTCAGGGATGGAACAAGTGGGACAGACAGGGAGACAAGCTGGGGGGTTGTGTGGAACAAAGCAAAGAGTGACAGCGAGAGCACAGGGTGAAGTTCAAGGCTGCCTGCTGGTTTCCAGCCTGGAGACAGACCCGCATGGGGCACCTCCCTGGTCTTCCATGTCCCTGCCTGTAACAAAAATGAACACATTATTTGGGTGTTGTGCACACCTGTAGTTCTGGGAGTCTGAGATAGGAGGATCACAAGATCGACCCTAGTTTGGACAAGAGAAATGGTCTGAAAAACAGAAAATAAACAAACAGCTGGGGTTGTAGCTCCATGCAAAGGCCCTGGGTTCAATCCCAGTACTGCAAAAAAGAGCAAAAGATAAAGAAAAGAGAGAATGGACTGTACAAAAGGCAGATGACACAAAGTGATCACCTGTCTGCCCCTCCAGCCTCCCATCTGTCAGCAGGAAACACTTTCAGCATTTTCAGCTGTTTTTTTAAATGCACTTATGCATCTCATATTTCTAAGTAATAAGCTTGTACTGCAATCATTTTCATTTTCTTTTTTTCTGGCTAAATTGCCCAGACCACAGAGGAACTTGCAATCCTCTAGCCAAATAGCTGGAATTGCAGCACTAAATGCAAGAAAGAAACAAAAACAGAACAAAAGACAATCATTGCCACAATAGCATGCTGGGGGCTGATCAGACCCCGGATTCATGTGGGAGAATGAGGGGGAATAAAGAAAGACAGAAGACAATATTTAAGGTACAAGGGGACGGGGAGGAACCTGTGTCTACTGCACAGGCACGCCCATCCATGGTCGGCCCACTGTTACTAGCAGTTGAGGAGCACAGGAGGAAGAGTGGTGTGCTTTTTCTCGGAACAGCAACTCTGGTAGACAGGGAAAAGTGCATGCAAAGCAAGTTCTTCCCTATGCTCTGGATGCCTGCATCTTTTACATTGTCCTCAGCAGACGTTGTCTTCCCTTAGGAGCATCCGAGGTTACAGGCCTTCCCTGCGCAATCAGGAATCATGGCAGCCTTCCTCATACTTCTCTGTTTCCCAAGGCAAAATCACAACAGCCTGGAGACCGCGGGATCCCACTCACAGAGCCTGCGCCCCAGCATAGGAAAATATTCCATAGCCCCTGGTCTCCAACAATAGCAGACACTAAACGGTTCCACATGATGGCGGATGTGCCATGCCATGTAGTGCACACGCGATCAGTCCCATTTTTTGGAAGCATAAGGGAGGCACAGAGATGTGAAGGAAGTTGTCCCAAGGGGTTCCCACAGGGCCTCGGGAGAGGCTGCTGGGTCCCTCGATCTCTCCCTCAGCTTCCTGGGACCATCAACACCCAGGCTTTGGGACCTACTGTGTGCTGGGTGAGCTGCCAGAGGCCAAGCGTCTGGTGAAGAACAGGACATGCACGCAGCTTCCATTCTGCGAGTCTGGCAAGGGCAGCAGATGAGCCAGCAGTCGGCCTCTGTGTTGAGAGCCTGGGGTCGTAGAGGAGGGGACACGGCCCAGGCAGAGGCAGAGCCAGGGAAAGGGTCTCCCAGGAGGTGACTTTAATCCATGAGTGACAGGTGTGTAGCTGCTTTGGAGAGGAAATGATGAGGCTGGAGATTGGAACAGAGACTCGTCTGCGCCCCAGCTGAGGAGCTGGGGACACTGTTGTGATCTTGGATCATCTTTTTCTCCTGGACTAGGACTTCAGGGGGCGCTGCCCTGGCTCTCCCACTTCAACTAACTCGACGCTGAATTTTCAGAACCTCCAACGGGCGGGCCTCCAGTTTTCTAGGTCGAGGTGACAGAAGAACATAGGACAGATAACAGCATTGAAGAAGTTCTTCATCGGGCCCCATCTGCCCTAAACATTTTCTAAAACACTCCTGGACAGCGGTGGGAGCTTTGAACTCACAGTTGGCTGCCTGCCTTGCTTTTCTAAAACAGACTTTGGTGTCTTCTTGTTTTGTTGTTGTTTATATTTTTGAGACAGGGTCTTGTTCGTGTAGCTAGGCTGGGCAAACTCACTGTACGCAGGCTGACCTTAACTCACAGCAATCCTCCTGCCTCAGCCTCCCAAGTGCTGGGATTTACAGGCATATGCCACCACCCCCGCTTTGGGACTCTGACTTTGGGTAAGTCATTTCTCACTTCTGAGCCCCGGTTTCCCCAGGTAGAACAGTGTGGGGCCTTCTCAGTGGTTCCTGCCTACTTATTTATAGCTGTTGTGGATATCTTCATGTGTAAAGATGTACTTGGGAATGAGATTTCAGTTTTGAATCTGAATCCTGTACCAGGAGGAAAGGATGGGATGTTTGGCTCCTGCCTGTCACACTCAGGATCCCCATGAATCTCCTGGGCTGAAAACCTGCATGCAGTCTGGGCTGCAAAAGTCGTTTCTCTTTCTTCCGCCAATCCCAGGGCCAAGGGGCCCTGGGTGTAAGTCCCAGTGTTGGGTAGATCTAAGCCAAGCTTTCCCTTAGGGTCAACCATTAACTAAACAAACAGGTTTCTCTGGGGTTTATCTTCTTTTTTTTTTTTTTTTTTTTGTACCAGGAATCGGACTCAGGACCTTGTGCTTGCCAGGCGGGTGCTTATGCCGCTGAGCAATATCCCTGGCCCTCTCCGGGGCTTATCTTATGGTAATTCTGCTTTGTGGATCCAAGCAAAGTGTCTGACCTCATTATCTGATGGAGACTTTCTTGTTTTGCGGTTACACTCTTTTTTTCTTTGAGAATTGGGAATTGAATCCAGGGAGCACTGAGCTACACCCCAGTACTTGTATTCTGTTTTGAGACAGGGTCCCACTCGGTTGCTGAGGATCCTCCTGCCTCCGCCTCCTGGGTAGCTGGGATTACAGGTGTGTGCCGCCATGCCAGGCTTGATTTAAATATTAATAGCTTCTTATAGCTTGTTTCTAGATGTCCCTCAAAGCCTCAAGCACACATAAGTGTTGCTTTTTGGAGGTGGCTGGATTTATGATGAGTGAATACAGATCAAGTGTGTGTGATAACTAAGTTAGTTCATTGATTGGTTTAGCATAGGCCTAGATGTGGTAATGCGAAGGCCCACCCTGGATGAGATAAAAGGGAAAGGAAGGCTCCCTGCTCCCTGCTTTCTGCCTGCCCTCCATGGACTGTTTTCCACTGCCATGCCCCTCCTCCTCTGCCATGCCACCCTGCCTTGGAGCTAGCTAACCATGGACTAAAACCTCTACAAACCATGAGCCAAAGTAGACCTTTCCTCCTTTAACATGTGTGTGTCAGATATTTTTTCCCAGCAATAAGAAAGATACGAGGTATAGCTGATTGTCAGTGACAGGTTACTGCAGACCAGGAACCAGTTCTGTAGCTCGTGGGCTGTTGTACTTTCTGTTTTTGTGCTGTTACAGATTAATTTAGTACCCTGGTGCATGCAAGGCAGGTGTCCTACCACTGAGCTGTACCCCCAGCCCTGAGTTTTACAATATTATCCCCACTGTCCAGAAGAGGATGCTGAGCCTCAGAAATGCTGCAGTAATGGTGTGACCAAGGTCCCACAGAAAACATGGCCAAGCTGGGATCATTTTATTTCTGACCAAGTTTCCATCATCTCTGGTTTCCTATCTCCTGCTGCACTTCTCTAGAAGTGCCAAGGTTACTGTTGTCTCAGTACTGGAATTCTGAGCCCGGGGTGCTAAACATCTTTTAAGGTACTGTCTAGCTCTGCCCCTGCAGAACCAGCCTATCAGGTTAATACTATCCCTTAGTTATGGCAGACTGATCAGGTCCGCAGTCTCCCAAACGAGTAGATGGCAAAGGCTAAATAAAAAAGACAAATGGAATGATTTCAGGGCTCCATGATGATCAAAACCCTCTCACATAATTCAAGATTCTCTGGGGGCTAAGACCAAGACCTTCTCTGAGCAACCCGTATTTATTTACTTATCAGAACAAGGGAGGGGAATACTCAAGAAGGGCAGGAACTGCTCAAGGACTTCTCCAAGTAAGGTATTAAGTTAATCCCCCCAAGAGTGAGATGCCTGAGCCTACAGTCTTCATCTAGTTGAGTTTGGAGCCAGGTGTCTTTGGCTGTGACTTCGTCTTATCCTTTGAGGCTTTATAGCTTCACCCACCATTATAGGCCTCAATAGGGACCAGTGACTCACAGAGGTTCACTTACTGTGAGTCCACTGCCCATCTCCAGACAAGGGGCCTAGGCTTTGGACAGACTCACTAGTAAACATGAAAATCTCATTGGTTTATTTAAGTCCTGCCCAGAGCTGATTCATAGTGGTCTCCTTCATCAGCCTACCTCAAACACCAAGTCTGCCTCCACTGAGAAACACCAACACCCTAGATCTAATTGTCCCAATAGATAGGAGTGAGTTGGGGCCAGCAAAGGAAGCGATAGTCACTCTGCCTGCCCTGCATGGTAGGAGCTGGACAAGGGTGATCCCCAAGGGGCAGTGGCCTCCTGTAGGCAGGGGAGCTGACAGAGGCACACCACTCCCCTTCTGGAGAGGAAGAGGCAGGCAGAGGGCCTTGCAGAAAGAGATTGGGCTTTGGGAGGAGGTGAACAGAAGACTGAATCCCAGCTTGTGCACTCTGGGCTGAATAATCTTTGTTCCTTGTGCTCTGGCACAACACAGGGACATCAACAGCTTCCTAGGAGTTTGGACCCAAGTCCAACCCAAGTCCAACCGGACCCAAGTCCAACCGCTTGTCACACAAGAAACCAACTAAGCTGAGAGACAACATATTCAAGCAAGGAAGGAGGCTTCGCTACAAGGTGAAGGACTCATCCAAAGCCCACCTTGCTGGGAGCCTTTCTAGGGGTGGTTTGTGGAGTGTTTGATGGGTGTTCGCAGCTGTCGGGGAACACATGATGCACATCTGATCCTGATCACCTAATCACGGTTCTCAGGGCTCAAGAGTAAAGATCATTATTTCACTCTCAGTAATGAAAGAAAGCATCCTTAATGCCCAGCTTCAGCGAGGATCTGGGAACTCAGCCCAGCAGGTGCAGCAGAGTTCAGGCAGGGCCTGGCTGGGCGCAGAGGCTGCAGAGCGAGGGTAGGGGGAACTCCGGGGCCTGCCGGGCAGAGGGCAGAAGACAGAGCTCCAGCACAGCTGGGCCAGGTCTGTACATTGCAACAACGAGGGAACATGCAGGCCTCGGGCAGATTCGGGCCAGCTCCACAGGGAGTGAGTGGCTTGAGAGTGAGTGTCAGCACAGGCTGCCTGGACAAGTGGGCCCGGGGTGTAGCGGCATAGCTGACATCAACACTGCATTGCTGAACGCTGCAGCATTCCAGGTGTCCAGGGTCACCCACATTCCTTGCGGCCAGACTAAGAGCCATTAGCTGTCTAGGTCAGTGGCTCTGTGTGTTGGGGCGGGGGGCACTGGCCATCAGCACCTGGTCTAGCTGTGAGGAGGCCTAAGATCTTAGATGCCTCACCTAAGACTTAGAAGCTGTGTTGGAAGTGTGCAAAAGGTCCCCTGGTGCAGCCTGGGTAGGCGTACAGATTTTTTTTTTTCTGACAGGGTCTCACTATGACCTTGAACTTGTGGTGATCCTTCTGCCTCAGCCTCCCAAGTGCTGGGACTACAGGCATGCACCACCAAATGATTTATTTTTGACTAATGATAATTTCAATAAGGACATATGTTGAACACTACTTTGCAGGCACCCACTAAGTGACTTTGGTGTATTATCTCATTTATGCCTCACTCCAGCTCTATGAAGGAGAAGCTATCATTATTATCATTTCAGAAATGCTTTTCAGAAAGGCTTAGTAATTTGCCAGAAGTCACACAGTTAATGGACAGCTTCTGTCCAAGGTCTGTCTGATTCCAAACCCCATGCTTGCCAGTTGTGTAATCTCAGCGCCTGGGAGGCTGAAGCAGGAGGATCTCCACATGTTCGAGGCTAGCCTGGGATACATAGTGAGTTCAAGGCCAGCCTGAACTGCACAGTGAGACCCTGTCTCAAAAAACAAAATGAAAACAAAACCAAACCCTATGCTTTAGCCTCATTTTGGTCATTAGCACCTTTATGGAGTTATATTTTGCATACCATAAAATTCTCTTAATTGTACTATTTCATGATTTTTATAATTTTTTAGACTTAACCCTTTATCACAACAATCCAATTATGCCTGTAATCACAACACTCAGAAGGCTGACGCAGGAGGATGGAAGTGAGTTTGAGGTTGACCTGTGCTATATAGTGAGTTCAAAGCCAGGCTGAATTACATAGTGGGATCCTCTCTCAGAAACAAAACAACAACAACAACAAGGAATACGTTTATTAGCTTGCCTGTTTCTGCTTGTGGATGATGCTGAGGAAGCATCGTTAAAGTCTGTCTTCCAACTCTAAGTCAGAGTCTTCTAAGGAGCTGTGGGAGCCCTTCATTGGAGGGCTGAGCTCTGAAACAGTCAGTGAGTCTGAGAAGCCATTGTGAGCCGTGGGGAGCTTTTACGGATTGTGTAGTAATGAGAGGTCCAAACTTCAAGCGCTCCAGGGGCTTTGGGTTTGCCACTTACACCACCGTGGAGGAGGAAGTGGGTGCAGCTCTGCATAGCAGGGCCGCACAAGGTGGGTGGAAGAGTGGTGAAGCCAAAGAGAGCCCTCTCGAGGGGAGTCTCAGAGACCAGGTGCCCACTGACTGTGAGGAAGATCACTGCTGGTGGCATTAAAGAAGATGCTGCGGAACATCACCTATGAGGTTATATTGAACAGTAGGGAAAGTCGGAGGTGACTGAAATCATGACTGACCGAGGCAGTGGAAAGAAGAGGGGCTTTGCTCTTGAAACCTGTGACAACCATGATTCTGTGGATAAGATGCTCGTTCAGGAATATCATGCCGTGAACAGCAACACCTGTGAAGTGAGGGAAGCCCTATCCAGGCGGGAGGTGGCCAGTGCTTCCTCCTCATGTCCAGCCCAGCTCTTGAAATTCTCAGGGTGAAGGATGGTGGATGAAGAAATAAAGACAAAAAGCAGGAAATAGAAAGCTGAGGTCAGGTGGAGCCCTGTCTCCAAATGAGACAAAAAGAACTGCTCAGTGACCACAGTGCCTTTACTTATACATTTGGCAGGTTGATGTCACGTGACACCTCTCTGCCTAGCAACCTGTTTGCTTGGCTAGCCTCGGGCGCCTGGTGTTGTCTAGGCTGGAGCAGCTTGTTCACGTGATTCCCTCAGGGGCTCTTTATTCTCAGGACTGGCCTCACTCCAGCCCTGAACATGTCATCAATCTCCAGCTTCCACTGCTCCCCACAGACCAAAATGGTTCTGGAAACTTGAGTGGTGGACATGGAGGTGGTTCTGGTGGCAATGACAACTGTTTTTTGTTTTTTTTTTTCTGGTACCGGGAATCAAACTCACGACCTCACACTTGCCAAGCATGCGCTGTGCCACTGAGCTAAATCCCCAGCAAGCAATGACGCTTTTGTTCATGAAGGAAGCTTTGGTGGTTGAGGTGGCTTTGGTGTCCACCATAGTAGTGGTAGACATGGTGGAGGTGGGGATGGAGAGGATGGATTTGGGATTGAGCGAGAGATGGGGAGAAACTGGTGTATGGTACAGAGTTTTATTTTAGAATAAAGCAAATCTTGCTGAGTGTGATAGGGCCCATCTGTAATCCCAGCACTTGGGAGGCTGAGGCAGGGGATTGCCTTGAGTTTGAGCCAGTCTGGGCTATATAGTGAGTTGAAGGCCAGCCTGAACTACACAAGGAGACCTGGTCTCAAAACAAACAAAAATTCTAAGAAAGACTGGAAAACAAACACTAGAGATAAAAAAAATATTGTAATGGAAATAAAGACTGCCTTTGATGTGCTCATCAGAAGACTAGACGTGGCTGAGGAAAGAATCCTTCAGCCTGAAGACATGACAACTGAAGTTAATCAAACTGGAAAGCAAAGAAAGAAAAAAGGCTGGGAAAGAAAGAAAGAAAGAAAACCAGAGCCAGTACAATGGCTCACATCTGTAATCCCAGCACTCAGAAAGCTGAGGCAAGAGGATTGTCACAAAGTCAAGGCCAGCCTGGTCTACATTTAAGACCCTGTTTAAAAACAAAACAAAACAAAACAAAACAAAAAAACAAGTTCAAGGCCAGTGTGTAAATTTAACAAGACCTTGTCTCAAAAATAAAATGAGAAAGGGTTGGACATGTATCTCAGTGCATTCTGGGTTCAATCAGTGCAAAAAGAAAGTAAAAAGCACCCAGCACTCCCCTCTTGGGCCTACATGAGTGACAGCTACTTCTTTATGAATTCTGGCTTTAACCTCATTTCAGCCTGCCCCCACTAAAAAAATGCATTGAGGTACCCAACCATAACATTACCCTGGCCACATTAAGCACCAATCCAGAGCAACGTCCTGCTTTTTTGGACTCTCACCACATTGCTCAGCCCAAGTCCAAATCTTATAAGTTCTCCACCATCTTCCTGAGCCTTCCTGTGTGCATTTTCCCTTGCTGCAACTTATTCAGTCACAGCTGTGTTCTTGGTGGTAGTTTTGGACTGAAGGATTTGACAGGTGCATCAGTTAAGACAGGATATGTTATAAATGAAAGGAAAAACAAAACAACAGTAGTTTAAATGAGGCTCACATTTTGATCCCCACCCACCCAAAGTAAGTCCACAGCTCAGTGATGGTTCCTCAATCTCCAGGGGCCCAGACTCCTTCCATATTGTGGCTCTGTCTTCCACCTCCTGAGTATGAAACATTTCAAACATAGACAAAAGTACAGTGGACCCTTGACATATGAACTCAATTCATTTACGGGGGCTGGTTGTAACTCAAGTGGGTTGTAAGTCAAGACTATCTTTCCCCTAAGAAATAATGGGCACACCCTTAATGTGTTCCGAACCTCCCAAAGCACCCCTGAACTAGCCTTTTCATAATAAAAAAGTGTTGTATAATGTGTGTAATTTACCAGAAACACCAATAATTTTCCTAATGTATTCATCAAAAAGTTATAAAATATACCTAGTTTACCAGAAACAACAATTTCGTATTGTACTCACCATTCAAGTTGACCTCTTTGGCTTGCAGGAAGGGAGGATGGAACAGAAGGTGGTTCTTGTTTGGAAGGAGGGCCTCCTTCCGTGAGAACATTAGAATCTGGCTCTCTGGGGCCCTTCCTATCCTTGGGAGTCTATAGCCCGGTAGGACCTGCCTCTGGTGCACTAGGTCTCAGCCTTTTCAGAACTAAAAACTAGTCTAAGATTGCATGTTTCTGTCCTTTCTTTCACACTGTTTTTTTTTTTTTTTTTTAAATTGTGATTGCTTTCTGTACCTTCCCTTCCTTCCTTAGCTCCTTTTCTAGCTTTTTGGGCACCATTTTGAGGTCAGTAATCACAGCAGTTATATAAAGCACTGACTGAAATCATGTCCACAAACACGCATCTGGGCTCAGGCTGGTGCTTCTGTGTGCTTACATATGCTTTTCTGCCATTGTGAGTCTTTGTTTACAACCATACACGCAGCAGGCATTTGGGTCCTAACTCTGTAGCAGGAAATGCCCCCCTACCTCTGTAGCAGGAAATCCCCAGGAGGATTGTGAGTTGAGATTGAGGAACCATCACTGAGCTTTGTTTATTAGTTGCCCAGGTAACAGTTCCTGTTCCAGTTCCAGTTGCTCCATCTCTTAGTGTGGAAATGTAAAAATAAGGCTTCTTGTGACTCATAGATAAGCAGTTTCAACAGGTTTGAGATTGCCCGGAAAGGAGGGAGCGCCAGAAGGGCCAGAGCATTATCTTCTGTCCTTGGAAGAAAGA